AACCCATCTGGAGTCCATCTGTGCCTCGCTGGCGGTGGGAAGGACTCGACTGCAGCGCTCACATATGTGAGAGAGTTGGAGACACATGCCTCACATATGAAAGCGCAACCAGAGTGATTTACATTGTTTGGAATAAGACACGAGCAGGAGAGGACTATCGTAGAGAGGAGGTGAGCTTCATCGGTGTGTGTTACTGCAGAAATCAGGTGCTAGTGCTTGTGTTTAAAGGATATCGTCAGCATGGTATTACTATGGTACTTTTATGTGTGGATTTAAGGGTCTATGGAGAACTCTGTGTTACAAACCGTTGAAATATGCCATGGAAAACCATTATAATAATATGATTTATAATAAGAGGATACCATGGTAACGTTATTCTTGGAAGCATCATTGTAAATAACATTAAATCAAATACTATCACTTTACTATGGTACGTCAACAGTTCTTTCTTCACAGTAAGAGTTAATACTTTTTGATTGAATCATCTGACAGACATGAATGTGGTAATACCGTGGTATCATAAAATTTGGTAATGGTTTAAAAATACACACATGCACTGCTGTCATAGTCCATCTGTTTAGTGCATCTTAATTACTACAATAAGGTGTTTTGTTATATGTCGTATTATTATTATAATACCAATGTTTAAAATTACAATAATAGGAATGGGGTTAAATGAATGCTTTATAGATTTATGTTTTTTTTAAATTCATATATACACAACAAATTCATCATGTGTGTGTATATATCTGGAATAATCAGGAGATTTTGAAATAGGGGCTTTAAAGAGGTCAGTCATGGAAATGAATAACATCATGGAAAGTGTTTCTGCTCCACTTGTAAAATATTTCATCTTCTAGAACTGCTCTTTGCAAATATAATCTCTCTAAAAACCCTTCGTCGTGAATCCAGTGTGATGGTTTGTGTCCCGGTCCACGTGGCAGAAGCTTCAGGTGTGCTGATGCCAGAGGAGAGAGAGGTCGAGTTCATTGCTTTAACTCTCCTTTAACTTGAACGAGTGTGCGTTATTAGTTTTGTGCATGGATGATCAGAGGGTCAATCAATCAATCAATCAATTAGGAATTAAAAGCTTGATGTTGCTCAGGAGACTCAAAGCAAATCCTTCAGGATTTTGTCATACAGTAAAAATATAGAGCTATAAATCATGTTTGAGTTCATATTGAGATCTCTTGCGTTTCATTGTAGACTTTGGCAAATCTGAGCCCAGTTTTTTAATCTCTTATGAAACTCTAGATACGATCACATTGTAATTTAGGTTTTGAGATATCTGAGATGTGCTCAGGACTGATGTTCGTCTCTGAGCGTTGTGTGTTTCTGCAGGTCTGCTGTGTGTCACTTTAACACAATCTACAGCCGAGGACGACTGCACACCGTCATACTGACAGCACAGTGTGTGTGTGTGTGTGTGTGTGTGTGTGTGTTTTATTTCTTTTTTCCCCTGCAGACTTGCTGTCTGCTTTTCTGTACAAACTCAGAGCTTTGGACTGGAATCCAACTAGTGCTGAAAGCATATTTTAGCACCATTTCTAGTGTTTTACTTCAATACTTTGCTTGAGATATTTACTGTGCCTTAGTAGATCAGTTATGAGGTATCAGTTCATAATACTAATGTGTTTTTATATAGGCCTACTACCGTTCAAAAGTTTGAGGTGTAATATTTTTTTGAAAGAAGTCTCTTCTGCTCTCCACTGCTGCATTTATTTGATGCAAAATAAAGTAAAAATTGTGAAATATTATTATAATTTAGAATAGCCATTTTTCTATGTAAATATATTTTAAAATGTAATTTATTCCTGTGATCAAAACTGAATTTTCAGCATCATTACTCCAGTCTTCAGCGTCACATAATCCTTCAGAAATCACTCTAATCATTCTTAAATTCACATTTAATGTATCCTTTATGAATACAAATATCAATTTCTACGTTAAGTATCAAACATTTGAACAGTAGTGTATATTTTTTTATCTCAGAACAATTTATATTTTGAGTTAGATTTTATTTTCTAAGCTGTTTTCAATTTATTTTTAGTCATTTTGTTACGTGTGTTTTTATTAGTGTCTAATTTTAAGTTTTAGTTTATTTACTTTGAGTTATTTTAGAACTTAAACTAAACTCAAATAATAAATATTGCACTTGCAACTATAGCTGAAATATTTTAAATATTTAATTATTATTTCAATATTTAAAAAAAAAAAAAACAGTTAATGTTCATTTAATTTCAAGTAATGAAAATTATTTTAGGGTTTTAGTAAATGTTAATATATTTTAGCTAACCTAGTAGTGTGTATATCATGTTCACCTACAAACACATACCAACAAGTACTGTTGTATATGAATATGATGAGGTCATGACACACACACACACACATCTATAGAGCAGCTGTTGACTAACGCTGAAGGCAGGAAGTTCCACATTAGCTCTGCTAAAGCAACGCTAACTGTCGTCTTGTCATCAAGGCAGCGACGGATCCGAGCGATTAGCCTTAAAACAACCGTTTTACTGTTGCGTCTGATGGAGGTGTGTGTGCGGCCGGCGCTCAATCACACCATTGTCCCGCTTGCCGTTAAAACCTTTGACCTCCTGTGTGGTCCGAGAGTCTGTGGGACATCAGAACAGTCTCTCGTAGCCCTAGTGAAGATGTAGCGCTGGGTGGCTTGTGCTCGATGACCTCGAACAGCACTTTCTGGAGGCCCTCAGGGGCCCCGGAGGAGCCGAGCTTCAGACGTTTTGTCTTTAAGGGCCCCATAATTAGAGGAGATCTAACGGAGCTCGACCCAGCGCTTGTTGTGAGATGTGAGAGCGATGCTATCAAAAGCATAGTACTTTTTATATTTACTATCGTACTAAATGATTAGTGCATCAAGGAATTTACATCATGCTCCTAAACAAATACCATGGTAAATTAAGAGTAAAAAGCAAAGTACATTTTTGGTAGTATTTTGTGTCAAACTTTTCTTAAGTAATTTTAGTATGATTTATGCTGTTATAGTATCAATTAATATTTAGAATTTGCTTTTATTTTTATATTTATAAGTCATTTTGGTATGTGCTTTTATCATTTTTAATAAATATGTCTTCAACTTTAACTTTTGCATCTAATGTGCATATTTTATTTTATTTCAGCCATTTTTCAATTAAAAAAAAATAGTTTTAGTTAACAATAAAAACACTGACATCTATCAGATGTACACCGTGGTACTGTTTTATTTACCATGGTATTTAAATGCTACAGAATTCATGTATCAATCTCCATAAGTGGCACATTTATTGTTCATATTTAGTCCTGATAGTGGACAGCGTGTTGTACATCTGGACTTCAGGCCTGAGACGTGATACAGCTGGTGCAGGGATAGTTTTGTCTGGAGACTCCGGTTATATCAGACATTAACATTTCAACAGACTCTTATCGACTCCGCTTGATCTCGGTGTTTCTAAAATCAAGTGGAATGAGCCAATCAGAGCAGCCGCTGAGTGATTGATAACCCGGCCAATCAATTAGTCCCACTGAGGTCAGAAGGGCAGCAATTCAATGAGCAGATGCTTCCGATGAGCCAAAGGACAGTGACTTTAGTCCTGACACACACACACACACACACACACACACACACACACACACACACACCGGATGCCAAAAGCTTTAGCACAAGCAGTTTCCTATTAGTGGACAATACTGTTATCATCAGTATGTCAATAACTGGTTGTTTCCTTCACTTAATCATGCAAATGTGCATCTAGCTGTGTGTGTGTGTGTGTGTGTGTGTGTGTGTGTGAATGTGTGAAATCCTTATAAATGCAGTCTGACATGCAAATACATCCACAACAGTTTGCAGTGAAGTAAAAAGATAAATAAAATGAGTTAAAACAAGCGAAAATATCTGCAAATAGATTACATTTATTATATATATTCTCTGAAAACGTCTTTATATGTGAAGCAAGTCAATGCATTTTGTTTTAAGGATGTTTAGATCTTTTTTTATTGTAAAACAAGACCAAAATACTGATTAAGGAAATGATTTTGTGCAAAATAACCTTGAATCAAGAACATTAGTGTCAGAAGGTAATATTTACCATGGTACTGAAATTCATGTACTATAGTATTTTAGTATTTTTCCCAAGGTATACCTTGAAAAATACCATGGTATTTTTTTGTGTTTTGTTATACTGGTTTTGTCAGTGTGCTGGAAACAACTCAAGCAAAGTTCAAAAATCACTACTTTGATGGTATGTTGTGTTTACCATTCATATTCAACACTGATAATAATCATAAATGTTTCTTAAAGGATCAAATCATCATATTAGAGTGATTTCTGAAGGATCATGTGACACTGAAGACTGGAGTAATGATGCTGAAAATTCAGCTTTGATCACAGGAATAAATTACACTTTACTATATATTCACATAGAAAACATATGATATTAGATTCTAATAATATTTCTCAATTTGTACTGTATTTTTGATCAAATAAATGCAGACATAGTGAGCAGAAGAGACTTCTTTAAAAAAAAAAACCCAAACTTTAGTGTAGATCAAATTATTTTAAGGCTACTAAGTGTAAATACAGATGTGTGTGTTCAATACAAACACATCTTCAAATGCTGATGAATCGCTTTGCCTTTAAGCTCATTCTGTTCATATAGCCTCTAAAGATCTAAAAGCGCCAGTAAATCAGTTTGCGATTAATGCACTTGACAGATCTGAATGCTGAATCGGTTTGGCGGGTCTATGAACTATAAAGTCAGATCAAGAGAGTGACGTTAATGAGCTCAGGGTCGAGGCGTGTTTTAATTGAAAAGCTGAGAGGATTGAACATGTGCGGGCGGACAGTGACGTGTCATTCGCTCTGTTGTCAGGATACACACGGCGTCTTCAACCTGTTGCATGCTGCGAGAGAGCAGCAGATGTGTGTGTGTGTGTGTGTGTGGACTGATAGGCACCAGGTGCAGCTTTTGTTTTGCCTTCCTTTCTTTAACTCTCCCTCCGCCTCCCTCTCCTCCTGTCAAACTCCTATTTCCCTCTTTTCTCCCCACAGGAACTTTTATTGCTCAGATGTTGCTCTTTCAGAGATCGGGAGACTTAATGGAGTTATTTTTCAGTTTCATGTTTCTGCAACTTTTTCTCAGATGTTTCTCCTACAATTCTTTAAATG